CCCCGCCTCCTGGGAGCCAGAATGGTTTCTTAAAAAGGCTTCAGATCATAGCACTTCCCTTCTTAAAATCCAAACCCTTATCATGATTTACAAAGCCCTCTCCATCTAGACTCCTTACCATCGCCCCAGCATCTTTCATATGATCTGAAACATCAAATTCCTTCCTCAATTCATTCCGGCTTGTCGGCCTAGCATTTTCTGAAATACTACTCTAGGATCTTTACATGGCTGCCCATCTTCTCATGTAACCTTCAGTTCAATGTCACTTCCCACCATCTCAGACCACCCTTTTCCCATGAAGTTTACCAGACAGGTTTTCTTACTTCATAGTTCTGATGACTGAAAACTATCTTGCTCATTGGTTTACTTAAGCCTCAAGAACAGGAACCTTGTTTATCTTGTTCATCACTGTATCCGCTATGCTTAGAAAACTCAGAACAGTGCCTGATCCACAGTAGATGTTTAACAAATATTAGTTAAATACTGACTAAATTAGACATCCCCGCTATACACAGAAGGAGCCCTGTCTGTTGACCAACAGGTGTACTAAGTTACCCACTGAGCTGTTAACCATAAGGTCCATGGTTCGACCCCACCAACCACTCCATGGGTGAAAGATGGGGCCAACTACTCACTCCCATAAAGATTTAGTCTCAGAAACCCAAAGTGCAGTTCTACTCAGTCCCACAGGGTTGTGAAGAATTGGAACCAACTCATTGACAGTGAGTTTTTTGTCTGTTGGTTCGGCTTCAGGGGAGCTATTCTGAAAAAGACCTTTTTTCTCTTGGCAAACTGATCTCAAAGGAAAAGCAGGGGATTATCAGATATAAAATTATTACAGAATCTTAGAGCTGACCTAGTCCTAAACTTTCAGTAGCAAATAGGCAAGCCAGCAAACAAGAGCTAGTATCCCTGTATGAATTTTAACAAATCTTGATTTGTATACTAAATAAATTCTTTTTCAATTACATATTTATTTTTTGTTGTTGTTTTCAATTATGTATTTCTTTTTTTTTCTTTGAATTATGTATTTCTTAAAATGACTAATATTTATACATTAATAAAGTTTAATTATGTAGGACAAATCCTATTCCAACAGTGCTTAAAAGTTTACAAATAAGCCAGGATCCTGGAATAAGAAACCAAGCCAATAATATTTTCAGTAACATAGCAGTAGGTCCAAAATATTTATTAAATGAGTGAAAGTGATGTATGGATTGTTATAAGAGCTGTAAGTGCCCCCAATAAAATGATTTACAAAAAAAATAAAATAAATGAAATTGTGGTTTCTCTAAGAGTGCAATGGAATCAAAGAAATATTCTTCCCTGGCTTCAGTAGGTGACAAAAACATGAAATCAATTCTTACAAGATCAGAAAAAGAGAAAGGCAAGTTTTATTAGTGAAACATGTCCATTTATTATTATTTCCATAAGTAATATAATTGAGACAAACAACTTTGCAACACAAAATAACCACAACTTAGTATTTATTATTGTCAAAGGGAAAGATCTCAGATCTTTGGGAATTTAGGAAAGCAAATATTTTGGAGAGAATAAGTACAGGAAGTTACTTTTTCGATGTCAATATAGTAACAGGGCTTATCTACCAGGCACATTCCCAGCATTGCTCCTTGTAACTACTAGTCCATGAAGGACTAGCCCACATTTAGAAACTGAATTAGTGTTGGTATTTAAATAGGAAATAAGCCATCTGAAATAGCAATCACAAGTCACTTTAACAAAGCAATTTACATAAGTAAGTGCAAATTACTAATTACCTTTATGCTGATTAAGGTCCTAGCAAAGACTCATTGATCGGACTGTCTCAAGTTGGAAGGAAGGAAGCTATCACATGGAATAAGGGCTGTTTCAGAAGGAAAAAGGCCACTTCCATATTGCACATTTCCTTTTTTTCAAAGCAAAGACTAAGTCAGGGCCATCTTGGATCTGAATCTCTCCATTTTTGTTGGGAGAAGACTCACCATCTCTTTACTGAGTTCCAGCTCAACTTCGATTTCCCGAGCAGCTGCAGGGTGCTTTTCACAGTAATCGACAATGAACTGGTAATGTTCCAATGATGCCGCCACATTTTCTAGCTCTTTCTTGGGATCTGCAGTGATGACTTTGCCATAGAGACGGGCAACGCGAAACTTAGCTAACAGGGCAGGGCGAAGAACATCTTCCCCTATGTGCTCAGGAAAGACTTTATTGGGGTCTCTCAGGGAGTCTAAGAAGAGCTGGTAGTACTTCAGTGCTGACTTATTCAGAGCATTGATCTTTTTCACGATGTGTGAGTCGGGGTCCCTTACCTTGTCTGCAATGGCAACCTTCAAGTCCATCATGTCATAGTAGGTGTGTGCAATTTCAAACTGAAGCTGCCTGCTGACCAACAGGTAATACTGTGGATTCAGGTCCACAATTAGGGGCTCTAGCATGGCTATTCTACGTTTATGCATCTTGCACCGTCTCTCCATGTCAGTTTCAAAGAACGCCAGCACCTTAAACAGAGCACTGTGATCTTGGACAACTTCGATATGGTCGGTGACATAACCATCAATCTGAAAGAACTCTTTTGCCTCAAAGACATAGTGCTGACCCAATAAGAAAAGTTCTCTGGCTTCATCAAAGTCTAAAGGTCGCAAATATCTCACTTTCTCTTCCACCGCGGAGATGGCATCACACAGCTCACCGGTTCCAAACTGCACGGCTTTTTTCCTAACACTCTCCTCCTCATCCAGTTCTTTTCTCCTCAGAGTTCTAAGCTCAGCCTGTTTATCAAAGTCAAGCTCTCCTATGTTGTCCTGAAAGGGAAAAAAAACATACAGTTAAAGCAAGTTTAAAAGCAAAGAAAACCTCTAAAATGGATTGTGGTGATGATTGCACAACTCTTAATATGACTGAACTATGGAATTATATGAGAGTTATTTAACAATAATTTTTTTAAGTAAAGAAAATCCTCTTACTTCCCAATCTGGTGTAGAAGTATTATAATCTCACATCATTTAAAATGTCTCTCTCTTAATTATATTTTAAGGTCGGGGATGGGGGAGGAGGGCTGAGGGGGTACTTAAATGAATAAAATGTAAGATAAACTGCTGGAATATTAGTTATCCTCTGTGGGTTAAAATTCATTTTGATAAGATGAGTGCTCATGAAAGGACACTGAGAACTGCGAGACATTATACACATTATTAGTAGTACTTATTCTTTAACATGAGAGTAAAATTGTAATTCTCTCCCTAAAAATAGCTCACAAGGATGATACTATAAAGTTTATGCTATAAGTTACTTAGTAAAATATACTTCAAAGAAACGCTTCCAATCTTTTAAAGACCTTAGGATGACCGCAGCAAAATCTCCCCTCTTACTTAAGGCTAGTAACTCCCCTGGGGGAAGTAGCAAAAGAAGAGAGCTGAGATGGTTAAAAAAGAAATAAGAGTAGCACATTCTCTCTTGCAGGCCAGTAAAATTAAACACCGCATCCCTCAAGGCTCACTCAGCCCCAGGCCTTTTCTTGCTCTCAGCTGACAGCGTCTCTCTGCACCTGCACTCTTCCACACAGACGCCGCCAGCACAGGCGGCTGCTGAGCGCTTGAAAGGCGGTGACTCCAAACTGAGATGTGTGCTCTTAGGATAACACTCTCAATTTCAAAACCTCAGCACAAAGAAACAAAGATAAAATAGGTCACGAATAATTTGTGAATACTGGTATTATGTAGAAACAGTAATATTTTCTGTATCTTGGGTTAAATAAAATATAAGGGAGTGGAAGGGAGGGAGTTTCAAAACGTTTTTGGAAAAATTACATCTTTTAATTCCATTTTCCCATGAATTGCTTGAAGTCCTGGTGTATAATTAAAGTTAATTTCTCCAGTTTACATTTCGGGGCCTCATTCCATCTCTACAAGGGATCCCATGCACACCTATGACTGCAATGCCATGGCAGGATGACACAGGCCTATAGCGTCATGCTCCAGGAAACAGAGGCACCTCCTCTCCAACATAGCCAAGATGTTTCTCCTACTCGAGCGTTAGTTTCGTGATGGGCAGCCCCATCTATCGGGGCATGTTCTTCTCCTCCATTCCTCACCCCATACTTCCAACTGTTACCAAAGCCTGCGGGTTGTAGTTTCTGAATACCTCTTGACTCCATCCTTTTTCTCCATCTCCTCCATCTCATCCAAGCTAGCTTCACATCTAACCGGGATTGTCCCAATAGTCTCCTAACTCATCTCTCTCATCCGGCTTTCCCTCACTCAATTCATCTCCTCCATTCCGTTACCCAAGTGATCTTTCCAAAAGCCCTCAAGGCTTCTAACTGCCCTTGGGATAGATGCAACAACCCTTCCAAGAACTTCTTGCTCTAGCCCCTTTCTACTGCTACCTGTTATCACATTCCTTCTTCTCGGCTCCAAACGCTCCAGCCTGTTCTCTCCCCTGTGGTGTCAGGCTCCCACACACTATCGAGCTTCTCCACATGCTGTTGTGGGTCCTTACAACGGTGCGCCCTTCTCATAACTCCTCATCCCCGGAGCTGACTTTCAAGGTTACGTCCTCCTGTTGTGACTTCTCCAGGAGCTCTGGTGGCACCATGCTTCAATAGGACAGACATCTCTCTCGCTAGCAAGTGCTCAGCAGCTAATCAAAAAGTCAGCGGCTCAGACCTACCACTGGCCAGTAAAGACCTGGCGATTTGCTCCCATCAAGATTTCAGCCCAAGAAACCCCACACGGGCAGTTCTCTCTCATAGGGCTGCCTTGAGTTGGAATCTACTCATCAGCATAAAATAACATCATAACTTCTCCTGTCAACTAACTGTCTCTCCTTCGTGTAATTCATCAAAGTTGCACTTTCACGTGAGGTCAACGCCCGGTTCTCTTTTGGTTCATCATTGTATCTCTTGAACCTTGTACAATGACTAGCATAGAGCTGGAAATCATAGAAATACTGGAAAAAAATTATGTGTATTTTTAAGCTTGAATTTAAGTAGGCCTTTCACACAGAAAGGTAGTCAAAAGATGAAGGTAAAAATTAACAAAATGTCAGTATTACTAGGCAAGAGCCTTCTTTTCTTTCTTCTGTGGGAGACTGAAAAGGGGACAAGCTATTCTAGTGTAAATCCTGCCAAGTGCTGAAATGACTTACAAATAAGGAAATTCAAGAAGATGCACTCACTGTGTAGAATGGTAACGTACCACCTAGTTTCCTGTATCAGATTGCTAAATACACTGGGCACAACAGACAAAGAGGTGGTCCTTCTTGAATCCAGGACATGCTACTAACACTTAGTGTTTGGGGGCTTTCTTGTTATGAAAATGCTGTTTTAAAAATTGCATTTCGACTACAAAAAGAAAAAGCCAGATTATGAAAAATATGAGTAATTTATTAGCGTGGCAAAACCTTGAACTTAAACTGTGAGTTCTAGTGGCCGGGATGGAAAACAGCAACTAAATGAAGGTGAAGAATTAGAACTGTAGTGGCATTTTGCTAGACACAATTACTTGAAATACGGCTGTTAAGTTTCTAAGTCTTGTTTAATTACTTCCCAGTTGCTTGTTTACTTACATGCTTTCTAGGACAATTTTTTTTATTAGCCCACTAATGTGCTACCATAAGAACCCTAGTGGTGTAGTGGTTAGCGATCGGCATGGTCAGCAGTTTGAAACCACCAGCAGCCCTGCAGGAGACAGACTGGGCTTTCTACTCTCATAAACATTATAGTCTCAGAAACCCACAGGGGGCTGCTGCGAGTCAACACTGGCTCGATGGCAGCGAGCTAATGTGCTATCACAGTCCCTGCAACCCTCCTTCTTCAGTCTTACTTGTCCAGCCAAAAAGAAGGGGTCACTTTCCCAGCTCCAACCTCAGCAGACAAAGAGCTCCACATCCACACACTCTTTCCCTAGCATGCCTCTACCTACCACCAACTACTGAGCGCGCACAAGCTCTTCAACACCTCTACTTTGGGGGTTTTGAAGTTTAGCTATTTAGTTCTAGTTTGCTTAGTAGTTTCACAGAGTCCTATCCTATTTATTATTTTAAATGATTATAATTAGTGCATGCAAATAGAAAAGGCAAGGGCAATAACCCCTTCTCAGGAAGCAGTCTCCTACATATCAATACTTAGCAGAATACATCCAAATGACATTTTTCCCCCTTAGGGGCTGGAAACTAGGATTCAGAATGGATTAGCAATACCGATAATGGCAATGACAGTTAAATTTTGTGGAAGATTCATCTGACTAAGGCACTTTTTGAGCCCTTCATAAACTGAGGCACTGAAAGAGGAAGTAAACTGCCATGAACAGAGTTAGTAAGTGGCAGTAAGCAGTCAGCTTACTGATCACCATGTTCAGTACTGCTTCTCTCCATGAGTGAGTAATACATGAGCTAGTTCTTAAAATCCTACCCTTTAGATTTTACCAAGTCCTTACGGTATAAGATAAGCTGCAAAGCAGATAAAGATGAATAAGAAACATTTCTCGCCATCTCCATAAAGATTTACAGCCTTGCAAACCCCAAAGGGCAGTTCTACTCTGTCCTACAGGGTTGCTATTGGTTGGAATCAACTTGACAGCAATAGGTTATTTCTGGTTTTAGTTGCTAGTCTAAAATGAGACAAAGGAATGAGATAAGACTATACATACCATAAAGCAAAACTTAAATGCCTTAGGAAGGGGCAAAATCATTCTATGGCATTTACAGGAAGGAGAAAATATATCTGTGAAGGGTAAACCCTCATTCATTCAATAATTTGAGAACCCATTATGTGAGGAGATAAGAAAATATGACATGAAGGTCACTTTAAGAAGCGTATAATCTCATCAAAGGAAAGCCACCACGAAGTGATGGTATTTCACATAGCCTTTGAATGATGAGTCCGTTTTAATAGGCAGGGGTGGAGAAGACAGAAATAAATATTTAAGAGAGTTTTCTGAACACCAGGCACAAAAACTACTCCATAAGATCAAAGGGCATGATCCCCATTTTAAGCTTTTACTTGCATCCTGCTCACTTAAGAAAACAGCAAATTGGACTGCATTCATTACCTGCATAGAAAGTTGGGCATTCTGCATGAGGGTCAAACAGTATTTGATCCAGCATCGTGCTATCTCCCCCTTTCTTTGATGATAAAGTTCTGGTACATATCCTTCAGCTTCAGTTGCTAAAATTACACACAGGAGTTGTCCAAGGTGGTCACAATTGTAATTTTCATCATTTTCATTGTGTATTGCATTCTTTTTCTCTCTCTTTTCTTTATAGGGAAATATATACACCAAAATATCCACTAACTCAACAATTTCCCCATTACAATTCAAGACATTGATTACATTTTCCATTATTTCTATCCTTTAACAAATTCACCTACCACTATTAACTTAAACTCAGTGCTCTTCAAACAATCAGGTTTTCCTGATTATAAATGTTAACAGATCTTCTCTGAAGCAGGGGAAACAATGCCCACCCCCAATCCTGTCACCCTAAGAGGCACTCATTGCTATTATTTTGCCTATTTCTTTCTAGTTTTTTTCCTAAGCAGTTTCTGTAGGTAAAAGTTTAAGTTACAATGTATACTCAATTTAAATTTAACTTTTTCCTCTATGTATTGTACCACTAACATTTTATCCATATCACTGACTCTTCCACATCATTAAGTACAGCCTTATATGCAATTAAGTAGATGTTAGCCTTCTAATACTGAGCATCTGCCTCCCAATTCTTCATTAAAACCACTCTAAAACTAAAGACCTCTGTGTACAAACCTTTGTGGGTGTTAGAATACTTCCTTAGAAGTAGAATTGACTGGGGCAAAGAACTTATACAATAATGAATGTTCATAACGCATACTGCCAAATTACTATCTATAAACACTACAATCAACATGTATGAGGGTACTTGGCGAAAGCATTTTGAAAACTCTGGATATTGTTTTTTCTTCTTCTAGCTTTCTAGAAGAAAAGCTGGTATTTCACTAGTGTCTGATTTTACTAATATTTTTGTGAGCACAGACCTTTTAAATGTTAATGAGTCTATATTTAATTTAATGTAGCAAAAAACATAAGACCAGAAATGTTTACTTCAATAACACATTCCCCTGACTCTTCATTGCCTCTTGATTCTACTAATCCATAATTAGAACTTCTGCCTGCCTAGAAAAACATGACGGCTCAAAATCTAAAGCCTCTTAAAAGTTGGAGACTGAAAAAAAGATGGAGACTGTTTAAAGGTGAGGTACAGGGTCAACCCGAGGAAAACAAAAAGTGTGAACTTATCACAAACCCCAAATGATGTGCAGGAACTGGCCTGTACTCCTCACCAGTGTCTGTGTGATGAAAGGGAGGGGCGGACTGAGGGACTGTTCAGTTACGAAGACTAACGAGGAGGATGAGTGGCGGAGGGGTGGGTGAGTGGCGATGGAGGATGGTGTAAGATATGGAAAAATTAATCTATGACTTATCAAGGGTTTGTGGGAGGGGGGCCAGGCAGAAGTGGGGAGCTGATATCAGGGGCTGAAGTGGGAAGAGAATGCTTTGAAAATGATGATGGCAGCATGTGTGCAAATGTGCTTGACACATTGTAGGAATGTTTGGATTGTGATAAGAGATGTAAGGGCCCCCAATAAAAGAACTTAAAAAGGGGGAAAGGGGGGAAAGAGAAGAAGAGACTAGCGAGACGTGACAACTAACTGTGGTCGGTGCACAATCCTGGACTGGGCAATACTGCACTGGGAAATGCTCTGGAAAACATGACTAAGACACTGATGCAGTAGAAATATGCACTGCAGATTTTAAAAAATGCATCACGGCTCTTTCCTGAAGTTCCTGAATTTAATACCGTTCTCTGACTGTATAAGAGAAGAGTCTTACCCTATTAGGAAACACCCACGAAGTATTAAGGGACAAAGGGACCTGACATATGCAATCCTCTTTCAAAGGGTCAGAGAGAAAACTAAAATGCAACTGCAAATGAGGCAAATATTAAAAATGGTGAATGCAGATGAAGAGTAGCGTGTGGTAGTTCTTTGTTCTTGCAAGTTTTCTAAAGTTTACAATTAGTTCAAAATAAAACTTTATTAAAATAAGCTATATAATGACACTTGAACACATGAACTTACTGTCTTCAGAGGCTGGCATCTTTCCAGTTTGACCAAAAATGACATTAGCAGCTGATAAACAATGCCTGGCCTCCATAAAGCATAGCTGTTGGGGACATAAATTAAGAGTAAATGAGACTCTCATATAGCTGATTTTAAAAATTAAAATCACAGCAAATAAATTATTTTAAAGTTGTTAAGTAAATGTGAGGCCACTGACCATTTGGAAGCAGGTACCTCAAGCAGAGGTCCTGGCTAACGCTTTTGATGATGGTCACAATGAGGTGGATTCATGAGCGTGGCCCAAATGGTATCCTTACTTACACACGTCATCTTAGACCCAAGCCCTAGAAGGGATGCTGCAGCCACAACAGCCTCTCTCTCCTGCCAATAGCTTCTCAGAATGAAATGCTGGGGGACGTACATTCACCATCAGCACCCGCAAAAAGCTTAGAGAGGATCATGGCCCAAGAAGGATAAAGCAGCAGGTAATCAGAGAGATGAAAGGAGGCACGATGATAAGCAAAGAATCACCAACATTTCAGAGGCTTGTGAATTAACAACACACATCAGGGAAATGTCCATTGCCAAGATATCTTATGAAGGATGAATAGAATCTGGCTGTGAAGTGGGGCTTAAAAGGGCTTTCAACATTACAAACTCTAGTAGGCCACTGGAGATCCCCTTGCAGAGGGGTCTTGGGGAGGAGATGAGCCAATCAGGGTGCGATGTAACAACGATGAGAAACACAACTTTCCTCTAATTCCTAAATGTTTCCTTCCCGCTCCCACTACCATGACTCGAATTCAACCTTGCATGTCTGGCTAGACCAGAGGATGTACACTGGTACAGATAGGAACTGAAAATCCAGGGAATCCAGGGCGGATGAGCCCTA